TATTCCTTGAAAGCCTACATAGGCACCATTTTCAGACATTGCCAGAGGGGAAAAAAAGGAGCACATTATTTTCAGGATGAAAGTAAGTATAATAGAAAATCTACTCCAGATAATACGAGATGAATAGTGTTGGAAGTTGAAGAGTCCACTTGTGAGAATGACCCCTTTAGCCCCCTTGTGGGTGGGTGTGACCTCTATGCCCATAACAGCCATTTCAGAAGTTTCCAGACAGGAGAGGACTTTCTGATTCAAGCTGAGCTCTGGAAGTGGTTTGAAAAATCACCACCCCAGATACACAGGCTCAGAAAATCAAGCTACATTGTATTTGTTTACTGCTCTAATTGGTGGTGTGAATGTGGAAGAGCAGGACCTAAAAATGAGGCTGACTCAAGTCTCTTGAAAGAGCCAACTTTACTCAGGGCATCAGGCAATTTATACTCTGAGGGTTAGGAAGAGTCACCTGAGTAAAGTGTACGGTCACAAGGATAAGCCATGTGGCAAAACATGTTTTACCATAGAGGTTTATGAATAACAGAGCTAAAGTAAACACATTTCTATCTGCTACATCTGGAAGAACCCCGAAAAAACATTTCAAGAACAATTTCATGTTTTAAAGAAACTAAGGTCATAAGACTCTCGTCTTGCTTTCTTTGAGTTTTCTTGCAAACACTCAGAATTCTCACCACACAACTCCATTCTTGGACAGTGTTCCAACAGTAACTTTTGAGGTCCTGCACCAAACCCGGATGGACTTGTGAAAATGAATTCATTCTGAAGCTTCTAAGCTTCTGCATTCTCATCAGAGGACTTGTGGGACACAAAGCATTTTCCGCTGTATCCTGGATGGGAGACAATTACGCTGCAATTTGGAGTTAAGGTGAGAGCTTAGGGTGGACTGTAAAGGAATTCTTTTAGGTCAGAGAGTCTCCAAACAACATAGCTTCACATTGAGGTTTGCCTGGCATATGGTGGACACTGATTGTTGCAAAACCTTTGCCACTCCATTTCTGGGGTGGTACTTTGGGACATTTCCAGAGAGAGAGAGAGAGAGAGAGAGAGAGAGAGAGAGTACTGCTCATCGGGAGAAAGTAAGACCTGAGTGTACGGGCTGTGGGAGCTGAATGTAAAGACGAAACATAATATAGCTCTGCTGGTGTGGTTGGCTACATAAAATAAAGGTCACGTATGTGAATGAGCCCCTTCTCCCTCTAGGTGGAAATTGTCATAGGAACGGTTCCCTGAGAAGAGCAGACCACCTGATTTTCTGAATCCATCCGGGAGCTGAGAAGCTATCCTAGATACAGAGCCCAAGCTACATTGTTTCTTTTTGGAGGTCAATCATCAAACCTACGCCACCATGTGAGCATGAGCCTCTCTGCAACATTCCCTATCTGGGTGCCCGGGAGTCTCAGAGACATTTTTGTGAGATTCGTGAAGCACAGAAGCTGCTTCTGTGCTGAAGTCTGGGAAAAAGCTCCGCCCCACCCTTCTGCATCCGGGGACATTGGAGGCTCAGTGCCATTTTGTGAAGTTCCCGGAAGGGGCTTTGCTACATGACGGTGAAGTTGAATGCTCCTTCTGCTGAGGTGCGGTGAGTGGAAAAGGCCCCTTTCAGGCTAGATGTCACCCAAATAATACAGTTTCAGCCCTTTGGTTAGGATGGCACCAAGTCGGGTCCACGGGGAGGTTCCCATAAAGAAGCCTGCTCTTGCTCTGGGTTAAAGTCTGACTGGACTGCTGAGTGGCCTGAGGAAGCCGTTCTCCTAGCACGGGAACCCCAAATTGTTAGCTGCGCCTGTGGCGAGCACTGTTTTAAAAGTGGCCTCGTGGTATTATTGAACCCTTTCCCCAGTCTGTCACTGTGGGCAATATGGCGGGATCGACATGAAGAGGACTTTAGCATGGTTCCCAGGTTCCCGTTCAGGGTGTATTTAGAAATTTTAAGTGGAATGGAGAAGCTTTAGTTCATTCAGAGTGTCCCCAAATGATAATTTCAATTGAGTCCAAGAGGAGAAGCGCTCCTCTCACAAGACTCCACAACTTAGAAGCTCTTTAGGACTTTTAGATAGAGGAAGGGAGCTAGGCAGGGAACTGAAGAAGCTCCACTCAGAAAGGCAGGGCCAGTAAGTGTACAGTGCCCTTTATATAGTTGAAAAAGCTAGCTGAATTCCAGAAATAAGTTCCCTCTCCTTTAGGATCCATATCCAGGGAACTGGGGATGCTTAGACTCATTTTTGAGGTTCTAGAGCTTTGAGGACGGTCCAGGTGATGACTTGCAAGAATAAGCCCTAACTTCTCTCACACCCCTACTCCCCCACATCCATTTCTGTGGCTCTTGGGATTTTTGTAAGGTTCCTAGAGGAGAGATAGCCTTGTAATGGCCTTTGTGCTTTTTAAGAGGTTTGCATGGATTACAGTGTTCACTTTCTGGTTACAGGATCTACAGACAATGCAATTCAACCACTTTGCTTAGCATGGCACCAAGTAGGCATTGAGAATGACACACTTTGTATCTTTTTCCACTTGGGGACTTAAAGATATTTGTAAGGATCCTGGAAGGGAGATAACCTTTACAGTTGCTGAAGATATATTTAAGAGATATTTTCTGGATAGAGGGTACTCAAATAACCTGGCCCCCAGTAAGGCCTGACTTCTAGGAGTGAGCCCCTTGCGCTTCAGATCATAGATAGACCTCCACACTCCTTCCAGCTCTGAGCAAAGTAACCTGAGGGAGTGCACCTTTGCTTCAACCTGTAGGGTATGAGGGAAGATCAGGCCTTGTGCTGAGATGAAGGCCTCAGATCTGTAGAGTTAAGGCACCAGATCCTGAAAGGAAGAGCAAGGAGACCCCTGATACTGTATATATATAATATATATATATATATATATTATATACTGCCCCTCTTGTAAGTCCAGGCAGGATCTGGGTAAGACTATGGCATAAAGTGGGGATCAAGTACTGGGCCTGAATGATGGATGTGAGTGGCAGAGGGGCCATGTGAGAAGTAAAGAGGAAATGTTTCCGAATCCCCAGGACAAGAGTGGATCCCTGCTCCTTCTGCCACTCCGGAGAAACACTCGAGGGATGTTCAGATGGGCTTCATCCTATCTTCTGTATCTTTCAGGAAGGTGATACTGAGTGAGTGGCATCAAAGAGAGCCACACCTGCTTACTGGAGGAGGTGTCTAGCAGCTTCCAGCAATCAAGGTAGGTGAGCAGCCATGGCAAGAAATAAATATCTGAAGGGTACCATCATCCCCAAAACAAGTTGTTCCCTTGTTCTGATGCCCAGGGAGCCCTGGAAATTTGGTAATTGTGGATGGCTTTTATTTCTGCATCAGGACTGGGGAAAGGTGGTCTGAGACTTATGATGACCTTGGTAGTAAGGTCCTCAGAGAGTGAGCAAAAGGAAGGGTACCAGGGTGAGCTGGATCCCAGTCATGTAGCTGTCATGGTGACCACATGTGTCTGCAGCCTAGAGAGAAGGACTGTGCCCTTGGACCAGCCCTCAGGGGAACTAAATGAAAACTTCCTTAAACTAATTCAGTTGAAAGATGGGAAGTATTTGGGAAGATGAGTGCTAGTATGAAGAGAGCCTGTTAGCTAGGTCACATCAATGACCTTTCTGCACTAAATAAACACAGCTGGGAATAGTCTGGGCCTCATTAGCCTTTAGGGGACCCCACTCAGCAGAGAAGAAATGGGGCATCTGCTCACACCTCCTGATTGTTTTCATGATCTCTTGTTTTTCAAGAACTGACCTGAATGTGTGAGTTTAGTTATTTGCAGGGTTTCATGACTTGTCATCAGACTAGGTGGGAACACTGAAAGAAACCCCAGTTTGGAGCACAGACAGGGGATCCACAGAAGCCCAACTCCTGGGACTCCCCTATTCCTGGGCAGGATTCACATTATGATCTCTTTGTCTTGATTGTAGGACATTGGTCTCAGGGACCTGAAACTGGTCAAAGAAACCGTGACTGAGGTCATCAGAGGGAGGCTCTCAGGTGTGCCAGGACTCAAGGTAAGAAGGGAGTTTGTCAAGTCCCTTATACAGATGGGGACCAGCTGACACCTAACTCTCCTGTCAGCTTTTGGGGGTGGGATCTGTTATCTAGGGGTGTATTCCATCCCCTGACCTCTTCTTTCCTCTATCTCAGTGAAATGAGCCTTTGCTTAAGGCAGGTGCACTCAGGTCATAGGAGGAAGGAGAGCCACCAAGTCAGGGGTGGAAGGTGCCTCATCCCAGACTTACGGAGCATATTTAATTGGGATACTTTTTGCAGTTGCCCTTGAATAGTTGTTGCAAGATGAAGGGACCTTGACTGTCTTTTGTTCTATTTTAGAGAAATGGGCAGTTTTCCCAGGAGTTTACCTCAGGCCAGCAGATAGGGCTGGAGCCCAGGGTCTGAGAGGAGACAAGTGAGAACCCAGAGTGAGCACAGAGAGAAACATACATACACTGTAGAGTCAGGCAACTCTTCACAGTGCAGTTTAGTCTCCTGTCTGGAATGGGCATCCAGTACTGGCCTTGCAGTTTATGACTGCGGAATGCCTCATTGTCCGTCACAGGAGCTAGGTGAAGTTCTTGGTTTGATATGGTTTCCTCAGGTAAGACATGAGAGGAAGACCAGGCAGGGTCTCGAGTGTAGGTGAGGCACACACTGTGAATGTGTCACATGTACCCCAAAGGCAGCAGACCCAGTTTTCGTAGCCCCATACAGGCTTCTGGATACTCCAAAGCCTCTGCTCTGGCCCAGTTGCACTCTGAGGAAAGTTGTTACTACTGGCCTCAGTCTCTCAAGAGATACAGAGCTGACAGGGAGATTCCTTGTGGCTTTAGAGCACCACACAAGAAAAAGCCTGCTGTGGGCCAGTGTTTGTGAACATTTCTAAAGGAGTGATTGGCAACAATGAATACTTCCACTCTCCTCTTCTTTCCCTAGGTCTCCTGGTCTACGCCATTGCGCTACTGCCTGGTGTTCAAGACTAGAGTCATCATGCCCAGACCTCGGAAGCGTAGGCGATGCATGACTGAGGAAAATCCTGAGGCCCAAAGTGAGACAGAGGGCCTAACAAGTGCTCCAGTTTCAATAGGGGAAGAAGATTCCTCATCCTCTTCTACTTGTTCCTCCTCTTTCCCGTCTTCCTTTTCTTCTTCCTCTTCTTCCTCTGCTGTAACATCAGGCACCTCAGGGGAGGGCCTTGCTGCTTCCAGAGAACCAGTTCCTTCTCATAGCACCCCAGGAGCTTGCTCCTCCAGCACTGTCATGACTTCCTCTCCATGTAATCAGCTCAGTGCAGTGTCTGAAAGTGAGGAGAGTTCAGGCTCCTCAGAGGCCCTGCCATGTGATAATTCATTGCCTAAAGGTGAGCTAGATGTAAAAGTAGATGAGCTGGTAAAATATCTGCTCTTTAAGTATCTAATGAAGGAGCCGGTCACCAAGGCAGAAATGCTGAGTAATATCATTAAAGACTATCAGGACCACTTCCCTGTGATATTTAGAGAAGCCTCAGAGTGCATGCAGTTAGTCTTTGGCATTGACATGAAGGAAGTAGAGCCTGATGGCCACACCTATAGTCTTGTCATAGCCCTAGAGCTCACCTATGACGGGATGATGACTAATGCCCAGGGCATACCAAAGACAGGCCTCCTGATAATGATACTGGGTATAATATTCATGGAAGGCAACTGTATCAGTGAGGCTATGATATGGGATGTGTTGAATAATATAGGTTTGTATGCTGGAGATGAACACTTTATGTATGGAGAACCCAGGAAACTCATCACTGATGATTTTGTTCAGGAAGGGTACCTGGAATACAGGCAGGTGCCTGACAGCGATCCTCCTTCTTATGAGTTCCTTTGGGGCCCAAGAGCCCATGCTGAAACCACCAAGATGAAAATATTGAGGTTTTTGACCAACATCAATGGAAGTGATCCCACACAATACCCAGTGTTGTATGAAGAGGCTTTGAGAGAAGAAGAAGAGAGGACCTAGTCTAGACTAGCCTGGGTACATGATACTACTACTCTGACCAGCAAAAATTCTAGTGCACTTACAGTTTCCAGCTCAGATAAGGTCAGGTAGAATCAGCGATCTAAGCAGTGGACCCTCATTCTAAAGGTGTTGGGAGGAGAGTGTGAACCATCCCACGCTTAATGTTCTATTTGGGTGACTCAGATTTTTCTTCTCTTAGTATTCTAAAATGTTGCTACATTTACTAGAAGGGTCATTAGGCTGAAATGTAAGCTTCCAGTTTGTATTAGTCATGTACTCACTGCTGTTTATCCATTTTGAAAAAGCATTGCTATTTTGTAAAACATGTTTGGATGTTTTCCATCTGATCCGTAATCTCTCACAGGACACCATTGTGTTGGAGTTGTTATTTCCTGAGTTATGGGAGAAACCTTGAAGAACAGAATAAAATTGTTAAAAATAAAATAAAAAGAACAATTAATTGTCACCTTATGATCTTTAGTATCTTATTATGGTTAATTAAATTCTAACCTAAAGAATGGACTTCCATTCTCCAAACTTTCATTAAGCATATGACCTTTGCAAGGGTACAAAGATTAGCAGTGTGTCATAGGTGGATCAGATCCATGCTTTCCTATAGATGGGGTGAAAATGAGATGTCCTCTCAGACCACAAGCACTAGTACAGGAGGAGGGGTGCAGAGGGGTCTTCTGGGGTGAGCAGAACCCCAGTTTTTGTTGCTGTAAAGCAAGACAGCTTGGAAGTCTGGGCTGTTTATTTAATGAAACTGCCAAGTAGTGAAAGCCAGGCCCTTGGGAGTTGTGACTGTCTTTACGCTGAGAGGAAGAAAAACTGATTTCAGCATTGTCTTTTAGAAGTGGATACTGCAGGGGAAATCAGACTGGAAGTTTTTAAGTGGTAGAACTTTAGAATAGCAAACACAGTCATTTCAAACCACAAAGCCAAAATATGCAGAGATGAGAGTTATGGCTGAGGACATCATGAGAACTGCATGGTTTGCTACAGCTCCCCCCAATGCTCACAATGAATTCCTGACACATAAGGAAGAATTGTGCAAGAGGCCTAGAACTCCTGGCCAGGACCTCTTCAGTCCACCTGGTCAGAAGAGCCAGATCCCACTATTGAGATAACATTTTAATTCAATTCTCCCCAGTACAGTTTTGCTAACTGTAAGAAGACATTGATTTTGTAAAGCTGGTAAATGATTTAGCATAGTAATTAAGGAGAAAATGATTCTAGGGAGGGAAGCTTTTTTATGATGTAGACTAATCCCACCCAAATTTTCACATGAGTGATGATTCAGTTAATTTTATTCATGAAATTTCACCTGGTTATGTGCCTGGTTAGGTATTCCCTATCTTGCTGACCTGCACATTCTCTAGATGATCTGGAGAACTGTAACACTGGGGGAGAAACCATAACCAAAATATATGATATGAAAAGAACATTTTTCAATAAAAATAAATAATTTTAACAACTAAAGGAACTAACAGCCACCCGCCTGTCACACAAGGCAGTGTACCAGAGGCAAGGAGGACACAGGTTCCAGGCTTTACCACACTCACTTCCCAGGTGATGGTCCCTAAGCACCGAGCATTATGAACTTTCCCTCCCTGTCTAAGTGAAGATGCTGGGAGGAGTACAGGCAGTTCTCTTGCTTCTGGCCCCATTGTTAACCTGACTTTTTTTTTTAAATGAGAACGTAAAAGGGTATTTTTAAACTTGTCTCATGCAGTGCAAAGCATCTATAAATATATATTAGGGACCTTAAGTTTCATACCTTGATTCCCTTTAACTGGGTAAATGGTTTTAATCTGAAAATCACTGGTTATTTTTTCTACAAAAATTCACTAAACATGAACTATGCAAGATACTTGGAGGCACCAGAAATACTGTAGTTAACAACATAAATAAAAGCACTACCCTCACAGAGCTTTAATGTTCCCTGTATATGATTGGTTTAATAGCAGTTGAGCAGTGAAGGTAGAAAGGGATGGCACTGTGAGAGAAGGTGGAATGGTTAACTTACTGAGAGAGGTATTTTCTATGCAGATTACTAGACCCTTTGAGTCTTGAGGGCAGGAGTTTTGGCTCTATGTAATATGTATTTATTGTTGCAAAAGTTCTTCAGCTCCAGGCACTCATACCAAAAGAAGATGCAAGTAAGAAGTACACACACATTGGGCTTGTCTGGGGATATTATTAATTCGTTATCCTTGTTTCCTTTTCTTGGTTTAACAGTTAGCTTTTAAGAGTCAGCATTTGTGTACAGACCCTTAACTTGTAAGACCTTTCTTGTCATCACTAGTGTGATTTCCAGCAGGAAGGTAGATTATTGAACTGTCATAGTTGTGGCCCCTGAAAGCCACACCCTTAACTTGAAAATATTTAGAAAAAAAGTGCCTGTATTGGACAGTTACAGTTCATTGTCATTTCCTAATTATATAGTGTATAATTATATATATTACATAAATGTAACTAATATTATATTTAGTCTTATAATTAATCTACAGATATAGAACTATGTCTTAAAATTCCATGTACCCACTATTCTATTTATCTAAGGAACTTGAACATTCATAGATTTTGGTACCTGTGAAAGTTCCTGAAATTAATCTCCCATGAATATGAAGTTGTGATGGCTTAATTTTTTATTGACAACTTAATTGGATTGAAAGATACCTAGAATGTCAGTAAAATACATCCTTATGAGTGTTTGTGATGGCATTTTCAGAGATGATTAAACCATGAAGTCTCTGACCTAATCAATTATCTGATACATTGATGGCTTTAAATTGTGAATAGACTGTTGATAGGTGATACATGGTTTTCTCACGTTTGAGATTATAATATATACTTCTCCCCAAGGTTGTCTCACTGGAGAAACAAATTACTCTTAAGTGTAGACCACATGCCCTGCATTAGATGGCCACCAAAAAACAAACTCAGTGACATTTTTGGCTGCTCTTTGTCTCATCATGCCACACCATAGCTTTTTCTTCTTTTTTTTTCTTTTTCTTTTTTTAAAATTTTTATTTTAATTTAATATTTATTAATTGCACTTTATTCACTTTGTATCCCCCCATAAACTCCTCCCTCCACCCCTCCCCAGTCTCACCCTCTCTCCCCCTTCTCCATGTATGCCCCTCCCCAAGTCCACTGATAGGGGAGGTCTTCCTCTCCTTTCTTCTGATCCTAGCAATAGAACCAAAAAATCTGAACACAGGGGTCTTTTCTGAGACTGATACTCCAACCAAGGACTGTTGATGGAGATAACCTAGAACCCGTGCACAAACATAGCTCATGACAGTTCAGTGTCTAAGTGGGCTCCATAGTAATGGGAACAGGGACTGTCTCTGACATGAACTGATTGGCCTGCTCTTTAATCACCTCACCCTGAAAGGGGAGCAGCCTTACCAGGCCACAGATGAAGACTATGCAGCCACTTCTTTTTCTTTTTTAAAAAATTTTAGCTTCTTTTATTTTTTGTTTTCTCTGTGCTCTTCCTCCTTCTCTCCGCTACTCTAACCCTACAGGTCCTCTATGTCTATATTATAGTTTCTGGCTTAGTGTTTTTATGGGATTCCTAAGTTCGCATGTCTCTATGTTCTGGACACTTCTTTCAGTTTCCTAGCCATCATGAAATGAGAACCCTCCTCTGCCATGTATTCTCCTGCCATGATGTCCTGCCTGGCTGCTGGCCTATACCCAGAAGCCAAACAGTCATAACAGTCTATATCAGTTTATAACCCTGGAGCTAAACCTCTGAAAAGTGAGTCAAAATCAATGTTTCTTCTTTTTAAATTGTTGATACACAGTAGTCTCAATTATAAAAAGTTGAATAGTCAAGTTATCACTGTGTATCTTTTCTGTTTTCCCAGCATGGCACATGATTCCTTTAGCTGAAGTCGATTATGTAATTTTAATTAAAATCTTTTAAATATTTATATCATAATTAGTTTTAAAAGTATAAGAAGTGGCTCCTACATGAGTTCATTAATAGTGAAAAAAACTATTGGGATTTTGCTATCATACTACATTTACATTTCAAATGATGAATGTCATTTAAATCTCTAGAATACATGGACTCACCTAGTCACTGTGGCTAACCAATTGGAACTGAGTATAATAAAGCACATGAAAACCATGTTTTTCTTGGTCCTTGATCCCTTGTTTTCATCCATATTTCTCATGCATTGTACAAATTTCACCATGATTTCTTTTTTGCACAAACAAATCACGAGGACTTTGCACATGCCAAACTAGTAAGCATTCCACAAAGAGGTCCATGTGTAAGCCACATTGTTATTATTTTTTTTTAACTATAGGCAGTTTTCTTTTAAAGATATTTATATGCTAAGGGAATTATACCTACTCATAGAATTACAATCCCTGGTGTTGTATTTTAGATGGAGCCCCAGAATTCTATCTAGTATGACTTTTTGTGAGCCTAAAGGATTTGTTTTAACATCTCTTTCAAAATGTACATTTATATTCCTTATAATATATGCACGCTAATGATTTAATTCATTGAATATTTTGATTTAAAAATATTTTACTCTTATTTTGAATGTATTTTCAGAGTGTAGAGTTTAGACTGAAAATTTTTATATTGGTCTTATCAATTTAAAAATAGTATCCCACTCTGTTTATTTTCATCATTTTAATTTGAACTATCAACATAGCAATTATGTGGATTAGAGGAATTCATTGTGATATTTCCATATATATATACATCTTGTAATGATTGTGTTCTTCCTCCCTTCTTTGACCCATCTCCACAGTGTTCTTTTTAATAGTTAGCAAGGCCTCTTTTTTAGAGGGCTTTTAACCCACAGTTTTCTAATATTTGATCCAAGGGAACTTTCTCTTTAGGTACATTTACAATTTTCTCATTATTATATGTTTTGAGTAATTTAATTTTCACAGACTTTGGCTTACTTTTTCATTCAAAATATTTTATTTTATTATTTTATGTGTATGAGTGATTTACCTGTATG